GATCAGATATGATTCTTCTGTTCAAAAGAGGCTTCAAACCCATCATCTTAAGACGTCTATCATATGCAGGAATATCTTTTCTTGAAATAGTTTGGAGTTTACGAAAAAGAGTCATACGCGTGAAGATGGGTTCCACACCTGAGAGCAATATTCCAGGTGTGGGATAACATATGCCTTATATAATTTAGTAAGTAAAAGCTGGTCAGATGAATGAATATTTCGAAAGATTGCAAATAATGAGGCATAAGCTTTTTGCACTACATAATCAATATGCTCTGTGAACTTCAATTTAGAATCGATCAATACACCCAGATCTCTGACCGATGAAGAGACAGTCAACAAAGTACCATTCACTTCATACTCAGTCGGCTGATAATTACCAAGGTGTAGAAAGGAACATTTGCTAGCATTTAGAAAAAGACCATTGCATGACGCCCATCTACCCAATCTATCGATAGAAGATTGAAGTGCAGTATGCATGACATGATGACTTTCCTCATTATAGCATACATACAGCTTGATGTCATCCGCATAAATCTGAACACTCACTCCATTCACATTCAATAGGGCAGGTAATTCAATAGTGAAGAGATACATTTGTATCTCTTGGAGAATGACTGCCCTACTCTGACTGTCATATATCTGTTCTCAAGATAGGATTCGAACCATTTTAAAAGATTGCCAGTAATCCCATAATTTTGAAGTTTCGACAAAAGTATACAATGCGGAATCTTATCAAACGCTTTAGATAGATCGGCATAGATAATATCCACCGACATACCGGCATTGAGGGCTTTTCTCCAGTCAAAAACCCTCTTCACTAAGTTGGTCGTAGTAGACCTTCCGTGAACAAAACCAGCAGTTTATGGGGAATTACATAGAATTTTTGCAGCACACGGAGCAACTTCCTTCTGATAATCTTTTCCATAACTTTGATGGGAGTGGGTGTTAGACTTATGGGTCGAAAATCACAGACAGTTGTAGCAGAAGTAGTTTTTGGGATTGCAGTCACCATGGCCTCCTTCCACAAACTAGGCATATCACCAGAAGCAATGGATAAATTGAATAGATTTGAAAGAGGTTGCGAAAGAGTGTCCGCACAGTTTCGGTATACTATGGGGGGAATGCCATCGTAAGGTTCTGTGCAAGACATTTTAAGAGATTTCAAGATAGCTTTTACATCAGCAGGATTAAAATTAATCATACTAATTCGATTGTGGTTGCAGAAGCCGTACGTAAGACGACTATCAAAATCTTCTTTCTTTGAAAATACATCAGCGAAATATTCACCTAAAGCTTCCGCTTTCTCTGCATCAGTTCCACAAATATTACCACTTGAATCACGAAGAATGGGAAGATTAGTCTTTGTTTGCAATTTACGCCGTATATATCCAAACAAATTCCTTGGAGCTTTGCTAGACAATCGACGTTCATAATTCGACAGAAATTTCTTCAGATGAAAATCTAAATCAGAGCAAACCTTTTTGTAAAGATAATCGGATAAAGGATTATTGAGTGTTTTAAAGAGGTTACGTTTTTAGCTAATTAGCGCACAAATATGTTGCTGGTATCGGAAACCGAGAAAGCTACGATTTTTCAAACGTCCAAATCTACCCAGGCCTTCGTAGACTTTGGCGCAAAAACTCCGATAAAGTTCATCCATAGAAGAACAATTTTCGAAAATGAGCGTCCAGCTAACATTATAGAAGAATTCGTTGAGGTTGGAGTAATCAAAGTTGTAGAAGTCAGGAATAGCAAGCACAGGTTGGACTGAACAAGCCTCTTCAACGTGAAATCCAACGACGTTGTGGTCGGCAGAAGCTATAGGTGGATATATCTCAACATTACTTACATTCTGTGTGGTAGAAAAAATCAGATCAAGTACACGATTTCCATATGTTGGCTTACGCACAAACTGCTGGAAACCACAGTCAACAAAAAATTTGAGAAGGTAATTAGAACTGTGATCAAGCGATTTGAGATTTTCCCAATCAATGTGCAGATTCAAATCACCAAGAATAATGACAGCACTGGAATGAGAAGATGTCAAATTGACTAAAAGTTCAAAAAGCTGCTCGTCATCGCACTGCGTTGAATTAGGTGGACGATATATATTGATAAACTTGAGTAGACTGAAGCCAGAGGAACAGAAAAGTTCGATCGATATTACGTCAATCTTTGAAACTGTAAAATGATCAACTCTTTTTATGCATATATCACCTTTAATCAAACAGCACACACCTCCTCCCACTCGTTTCTTCCTGTCGGTACGATGTATCGTATATGGCAAATCAAACAAAATTTCCGAATCAAGTATTTTGGGTGATAACCAAGTTTCAGTGATGAAACATAGATCAGGTTTTTGTCGGCACAAAAAGGTGTGGAGGTGGTCTATCTTGTTCACTATGCTTCTGGAATTGAACAAAAAACACCTCAAAGTATCCTTGGCATCAGTTCCGGCACCGTGCAAAATCAGTGGTTTCCCGATACTCTACGGGGAAGCTCAGAAACGTGTACAAGCTGCCCCTTATAGACAACCCACTCACGTTCTGGCTTGCCCCTGTTCCGCTCCCGTGCCTGCTGGCGGAGCTCAAATTCCCTCCTCCGTTCTTCCTCGGTCATACTGCGACGTATGAAGATATTAGAAAAACCGGAAGAACGGAGGAGGTGAGCATTTGAGAGGGCGGACCTCCAGTAGAACCTCGATGGGAGTACCACCTTCACAAGGCGGGGACGATTGCCAGGTTTCCCAATGCGATAACATTCACTCGGGATGCAGTCTATATTGAGTGAATCAAATACATCCTCCACCTTCTTTTTCAAATCCAACGCGCGTTTGGGATGCCCGGAGACCTTCGGGTGGTTCAGCTATACCGCTGACGACAACAGTTCTGGACCTTTTCTCTTCTTCCACTGCATTACGAATTTCTTCGTGCAGCTTATCAGAAAGTACACTCAACATCCTGCCAATGACAGGGTCTGTGTTCCTTTCTATGATAGAATGAAGAAGATCAAAGGTAGTCATTTGACTGTAACTGGTGTCGTCAGCGGTAGAGCTGTGACCTCCATTTTGGGTACGATCTATTGAAGAATTGACAGGGAGCGACCCGGTTGTTCTTTTGCTACGAATTGATTTTGCCGGCATCGTTTTGATCTACCCAAACTGGAGAAAATGACAAGAATCAATAAGATGGGAAGAAAAGAAAACCACCTCAAAAAAAAAAGAATCTACGTGCAGTGAACACAGCGACTGAGGCAGATGACAAAGCAGGAAGAGATAATGAAATTGAAAGAATAAATCTAGCTCACTAGAAGAGAAAGGTAAGAGCACGCTAAAAAACAGACCGCACGCTACGAGCGAACGCAGTGGAATCTTATGATACATTATTATGAAAATTAGATATGATACATAATTATGAAAATTTCTTATAAAGATCGGACCCTGATACTGGATGACCGATAAATTCCGGCATCTCCATTACAACCAGGTGATCTGACATCATACATTATGATGCGGTAGCCGCAATCGCAGACCGCAAGCAAAACAATAGTAGAGTAAGAGTAGTAACTCAGGTAGTTCCAGAAGCTACTACTCGAGTGCGCAGGTTTCTAAAGTAATGCTGTCCCTCACATGTTTTAGAGGTTTACATATCTAGCAGACCTTAATATTGATGTGTTTACCATCCATGAACCCTACGCTTCGAGGGTAGTCGTACCTCTCCTGGGTTTTTCTCGCCACCTCTTCCAACATCTCAAGCGTCAAAGGAGGGAATGCGTCGTTATGCAGTCCTGAACCAGACGCTTTAAGTTTTATTTTGATTATTTTTTGATGTTCTACCGCTTATAATAGCTTCAGTTACTTCCTACACCACCTGTGAGACCGTTTCTATCCCAAGCCCCATATCCAAAGCGAAGGCAGAGAATGACATGCCTTGGGTGACGATTCTCTAACACTGCAACTTAGTATATGCACACTTTGTGTAGCTGCCATCTATCACCTCAAATAAATCATGAGCCGATGGCGCCCGACAATAGGTCCAGCATGGCAAAGGGCGTGCTCAAGTCTGCTTCCGATTTTCTCGTACAGGTCCTCGAACTCATTCGGCAAAAGCCGAATGAACTGAGAAACCCTTCGGGTCTGCGTGTGACTAGATACGCGTCAAAAAGACGGAAGCGAGTAGAAAGAAATGGACAGTGTTCTTGTCGCACGTATTCCCTAGTGGAGGAAGATAACTCGCTAAGGGCACCTGCCAAATTCTCCAGCGCTTGATGTAGATTCAAATATTGCTGATGTGTCATGCTACAACCTTCAGATAAAAAATTTCTGCGTGTTCAATAAAATGCTTCTGTCATCTTAAAGCTGTTCATCATGTTATTTCTGAGGAACAGTTCGAAAGGAAGTGTACATACACAAGTTATTATTGAATGTTAGTCATTTGAGTTGTGAGAATCAAACTTCAATGGCGTTTATTCAACAAAACCTTCGTAGAATACAACAAAACTTCTTCTGAGCACAACACATAATTTTGAGGAGGAAAGACTTCAGTGTTTTGGAGGCTATGCAAGGCAGGAAATTATTAGCAAATGATCATTTGAGTTGTGAGAAGAAAACTTCAATGGCGTTTATTCAACAATAACTTCATAGAAAACAACAAAACTTTTGAGCTCTTCATGAAAGCAACAACAACGCATAATTTTGAGGAGGAAAGACTTCAGTGTTTTGGAGACTATGCAAGGCAGATAGAATCAGAATAAAATGATTAAAGTAATGAACTCCTAGCGACTGCAATACAACAACGATATGAGGACCATGCAATCATTTTCAAAGTACTCAAAAGTATCCATATACTATGAAAACGGTACAAAAACAGCAGTGGGCGGTTCTACGAGATTGAAGTAATATCAAGCTTACGACCATTCATTTGGCGAACCCTGAAGCGTAGTGTCATCCTTCAGCAGAACTGTTATAAGTGATTGAATTTTTGCATGCGCCTTTTCTGTCATCCGTGATGGCGTACCGGAAACAAAATCTCCTAGAAGTAGTCAAATAGTTATATAGTGTGAATCAGTGCCTAAAACACTCACCGATGTGCCTGTATCTGTTGGTTGGTGAACTGATCGCCTCCAATGACTTTTCACTGCATCCGCAGCTTCTTGCACAGCGGATATGCCTAAATGCTAAGAAATAGATTCAAGTGAGCAAATATTGATACTTTACCATCTTCAAGACGGGCCTTTTTGGTCATTTGGTTTTCTCGACCACTTGTCTCTTTTCTAAACTTCCCACGTTTCTTGCCGGTGTCACCCTCAGAAGAGTTCGCGACGTTGTTACTTCTTCGAAATGTTCTGGCGGCAGTGGATCTGGATAATTGATACAGGCTTTTGCAGGAACTTCGAAGATAGCTGTTCCAACCGTTTTCATCACTGAGGATATCGATATCGTCATCTTCATCGCTATAGTGGAGATTGGAAATACGGACTCTAAAAAGAAACATTGCTCTACTCTGATGTTAAAAGATAGAAACGTACCCTTTTACATCGGCTGTCTCCAGATATCTTAGTTCTCACTATTCCACTTGATTCTGACGCTGATGACCCATGTGTGAGATTTTGTATCGCCTATACGCGTCGCGCATTAGCTTCCACGTGTTCTTCACTTAGGCAACTGAAATATTGCTCACAACCTGCAACTCCGTTATGCATTCGAAGTCAGTACTTACGATCGTAAGTATATCCGAGCTGTATTAATTTGTTCAAGATACGATCCCATGCGTCCGCCTTTTTGTCTCTCATGTGATACACATTGCGGGTGCGATCCCAGAGACATGGCTCGTCTTCCATGAGAGAGGCGAGAGTCTCGCGAAATTTAACGGGCATTTTCCCAAATCAAGCATTCGTGTTGTTATAGATGAGATGGTGTATTACAAATTGAGCGGAAGGGAAACAAAACATCTTTGCATGGATCTGAACACAAAGCAACGATTGCTAGAAGAACGAGTTTGTGAATAACTCGTTAATATCAGCTAGCTCCAGCTTCGTAGAGAAAGATCGACTAAAAGGAAACCTCCTTTGATAATAAATTACATCACGCAGCATAGTATAACAGAAACAAGAACGGAAGCTTAGTCAAACAATATTTACAAAAGAGCTGCTTACACAACAACATAGAGGAGAAGAGCAAAGGAAGGGATAAAAGGATAAAAAAGCTGCGAGCATCCCGTTAGTGCTCATAAGTCAATCCTATGCGCCTCACGGGCAAAATCTGACCCGGTGCGCTTTGGCTGCAATAGCGGCAACCGGCGCGAAAGCAGCTACCGGCTGCAAAAGCGACAACCGGCGCGGTCTGGAGGCTTCCTTGAACACCAGCGCAAACGAGCGGTCATCGCGAACGACTGTCGGCGTTCACCATATTCCAAAAGTTCTTTCTTTAACTTTCGTGTTGTTCTCGTCAATGCAGGGTATATGTTGACGAAAGCTCTCTTCAAAAGTTTAAAAAAGTTTAAAATATGTGTGGAAAGGGTGCGCGCCATTGTCGCTCGCAAAATGCCTGTAGCGCTTCGGGACCAAACGTTCCCAGCCGCGCCGCGCGTTGGTGTTCAAAGCGGCGCGTAGGCAACTGGATTTTACGGGGCCTGTATATTCATAGAACACTTCCTCTATGAAGACATACTCTACAGGACTTTGCGATTATATGTAGTTTATCTATTTGATGTTGAACATTTCATTGATATCAACATTATCACTATTTTTCGCATAAGTTTCGCATTCACTCATGTCGCCCATAGACCAAAGGTTAATCGATTTTGCAACTTTAGTTACTTGTCAACATCATGTCACGGCGAGCATATTTCGTAACAACCAAAAAGCAATTTGCGTAGAGTTCGATAAGCAAATGAGTATAAATGACATATTCTACGGCTTTGGACAACAAGGGCTAGAGTACAATACCGCTCATAATTCGTCAAAAAAGTCGCCGGACTGCGGCGCACTCCGCCACACTCCGGCGCACTGTGGCGGAGTGTGGCAGAGTGCGCCGGAATGATCGTCAATTTAGCCATATCTCGCTTCAGAAAGGACGAATTCTGAATCCGAGGACACCGTTCGATTCAGCTCGACGAGGCGCATCATCCTATATATGAAGCTGAACGTCTGTTTGTCTGTTTGTCTGTACGTATGCTCCGAATAGAAAAATCCTTTTCTCAACTGATCCGGACCAAACTTGGCACGCATACACTTCGGGCCCCGGCGGGTGTCATAGGCTACTTTTCGTCATCGATCGATATCGATTTTATCTTTATCTTTATCTTTATCTGATACGCTCGAGGCGTGCTGACAAAACAACAGAACAAAAAACCATGAACACATGTGTCAGGCTACTCAAGAACGAAAAGAGGTAGAGAAAAAAGAAAGAAAAGAAAGAAAAAAAAAAGAAACGCAGTAAAACAATGACATGACTGTACGGCAGCCGGTCCAGTAATTTATCAATAAAGCAACGCAACGAAACACTAAAAACGAGCCTGAATGGCATGTTAACTCTCAAAACCTGGATGTTGGCTAACTCTAAAACCAGCAATATCAAACTATCCTTTCAAGACAGCAGGGAGCCCCTTCCTCAAGCAGCGGGAGCAGAGCGGAGGCCCGACGAAACGGGATAACCGGCAGCCCCCGCCAGTACACCCATACGGATGCACTGGCTGGGGGCAGCCAGTACACCCGCTCGTCGAAACAACCGCACCGCCAACACCACCGGGCCACGGACGACCAGCATGTCCAGAAAGGTAGAAAGATAAGCAGGAAAAGAAGTTGAAGAATCTGCGCTATGAGAATACAATCACACCCAAAATCTTCTTTCGGCTCGCTACTCAAGCTCGTTAGTGCACGAAAGATAGCTTAACAAACAATAACTAGAAGTGAACAAAGTACACTTCACGCAGGAGAAAGATCGAGCTAACTAATGGGCATTGGGAAGAACAAAGGGAGTGTATCAGCACAATCAGGAAAAATGAGGTTGATGTTACTTGACATCGTGAATATGCAAAAGATGAAGGACATTAAAGATTTTATCGATTTTTATCGATTTTTTTGCAGAGTTCACTACGGGGCTGGGAGTTTACATAGGGGGGTAATCGAGCATGGGGATTCCGAATACAATATTTGTTTTCAGAATTATCGATTATTATTTTGGTTGAATTCAGTGTGCTGATAACAGTATTATCATTGATCTGTCGCTGATGACACATAGACAGTATAGTACAGGAGTATGGTAGAGAACCACTCTGATCGAATTTTGTTCTAAGGTCTGCTCAAAATCACAACACCGCCCACAGAATGTCAAAATTTCAGTGAGCTTCGCGGAATTCCGGGATTTCCGCCAGAGTGCGCGATAATCCGGGAAGTTCGCGACATTTCAGGATCCGCGAAACCATGCGAATCACGCAGAATACGCAACGCCATAACTTCCTTCGGAACGAATATATTCCGAATCCAGAAGCAGCATTTTGTTCAGATCGTCGAGGCAAATATTTTGATATACAGTATGCTCTCGATATTCCATTTCCAGTTTTTTCGAGTTTTTTCTGTGGAGGTCTTTTCGCAAGGATGTAACGCAGGTCTGTGTATTATAAAAGATTCCAGTAAGCACTGTTCGATAGTACAGTCCTTGTAGGTTATCGTGCGTTTAAGAGTAGCTGCAGACTGTCTCCCAAAAGAGTTAGAAGCGTTGGTGAATTTTGGAAAAAATCACGCGTTTCTAAATTCCACTCGCCGTAACTTCCTTCGGAATGAACATGTTCTGAATCCGAAGAAAGCTTTGTGCTCAGTTCATCAAGGCAAGTCTTTCGATATACAGCATATCCTTGATATTCCGATTTCAATATTCTCAAATCTTTCTGTAGACGTCTTTTCGTGAAGGTGTAAAGCAGTGTGCATTGCCCCTAGTAGACTCCAGCAAGGACCTTTCAATAGTACTTTTTCTGTAGATTACGTAGCGCTAAAAATCAGTCACGCATTTTTCCATAGGAGTTAGAAGGGCTGGTGAATTCTGGAAAAATCATGTCGTTCTAAATTTTTCTCAGCGTAACTCTAAAATATGAAGCTCTCTTGCTAAGCAGATGTGATTTTCGTAATCAGCAGGTCGGATAACCCTTATAAGCAAGTTTTCCAAGATGTTCGAGTAATTTCATTTTTTCTCGTTTTACGCTCTGAAGCTGGCCGATGGATTTTGGTCAAAATGTTCATGCTCTTAAATTGTAAGGAAACTTCGCTTATAGAGGTTTTTGAACACGCTCTTTACGAAAATCGTGGTCTTTGAGGATTACAGGGTCTTCTTGGAGAGATAAGGTGAGGTGACTGTAACTAACATCACGAAAGCTCGTAACTTCGCCTCCACCTCTCACGTGTTTGTCAAAGAACCTGCCTGCTTGCTTTTCTCACTCAAAGTTACTAGGAGATGTGCTATCGAATGGCGCAAGACTCAGGCTCCAGTCCATAAAATTCCAATAGTTACGAGCCTATGAAAACACGTTCTCATGAATTTTGCTCAGAATGTAAAGATCGCAAATTTCGTCAAAATTCCACCATGAGTGCTTGTATGACACTCGCATTGCGGATATTATGTTCGCTTCGCTCAATAACTCCACTGTATTGAATATGGTGCTTGCGTGTGCTTCAGCAATTGAATAACAAAGCTGTTTTGTGGCTAGAGCTCAAATCACCAAATCTCACAATAAGATCCATTAATAATGTGAAAAGATTTGATCAGCGTGTTGTACAAGCACTCATAGTGGAATTTTGACGAAATTTGCGATCTTTACATTCTGAGCAAATTTCATGAGAACGTGTTTTCATAGGCTCGTAACTAGTGGAATTTTATGGACTGGAGCCTGAGTCTTGCGCCATTCAATAGCACATCTCCTAGTAACTTTGAGTGAGAAAAGCAAGCAGGCAGGTTCTTTGACAAACACGTGAGAGGTGGAGGCGAAGTTACGAGCTTTCGTGATGTTAGTTACAGTCACCTCACCTTATCTCTCCAAGAAGACCCTGTAATCCTCAAAGACCACGATTTTCGTAAAGAGCGTGTTCGAAAACCTCTATAAGCGAAGTTTCCTTACAATCTAAGAGCATGAACATTTTGACCAAAATCCATCGGCCAGCTTCAGAGCGTAAAACGAGAAAAAATGAAATTACTCGAACATCTTGGAAAACTTGCTTATAAGGGTTATCCGACCTGCTGATTACGAAAATCACATCTGCTTAGCAAGAGAGCTTCATATTTTAGAGTTACGTTGAGAAAAATTTAGAACGACATGATTTTTCCAGAATTCACCAGCCCTTCTAACTCCTATGGAAAAATGCGTGATTGATTTTTAGCGCTACGTAATCTACAGAAAAAGTACTATTGAAAGGTCCTTGCTGGAGTCTACTAGGGGCAATGCACACTGCTTTACACCTTCACGAAAAGACGTCTACAGAAAGATTTGAGAATATTGAAATCGGAATATCAAGGATATGCTGTATATCGAAAGACTTGCCTTGATGAACTGAGCACAAAGCTTTCTTCGGATTCAGAATATGTTCATTCCGAAGGAAGTTACGGCGAGTGGAATTTAGAAACGCGTGATTTTTCCAAAATTCACCAACGCTTCTAACTCTTTTGGGAGACAGTCTGCAGCTACTCTTGAACGCACGATAACCTACAAGGACTGTACTATCGAACAGTGCTTACTGGAATCTTTTATAATACACAGACCTGCGTTACATCCTTGCGAAAAGACCTCCACAGAAAAAACTCGAAAAAAGTGGAAATGGAATATCGAGAGCATACTGTATATCAAAATATTTGCCTCGACGATCTGAACAAAATGCTGCTTCTGGATTCG